CAGTTTCTTGTGCATGTCCCTTCACTTGATGGAATTCTTGAAGTTGTCATCAATGCCGTGGGGAAGGGAGTGACTTGTTCTTCCTTCTTCTTTTTCAGCTCGTGCTCATAGGTTCTGAGTTCATCAAGGAGACCTTGAACAGTGTAGTTTTCCAGGTTTCTTCCTTCTTCCATGGCTGTGGCTTTGGTGTACCACTCAGTTGGGAGTGATCTCAGCAACCTTACATTCTTTTCTTTGGGAGAAAGAATGTGGTTAAGTGAGGCAAGATCATTCAAGATTTTGTGGAACCTTTCATCCAACATATCAAATGATTCTCCGGGAAGCATTTTGAAACCTTTGAACTTCTCAATTAGGACTTCTATCTTCTGCTTTCTCAAGTCCTCTGATCCTTCACATAGCTTCCCAAGACCTTGCCATATTTCCATGGCAGTCTTGAGATGCTTGATTTTGGAGAAGGTGATGGGATCAAGTGTCTTGAAGATGGCTGCTTTGGCGACGTTGTCCAGATTGTGCTTTTTACAATCTCTATCATCCCATTTTTCCTTGGGCTTTGGAATGTACTGGATTACATCGGGAGTTGCTGGATTCCTTTCAGGATTCTCCATTTGGATTTTCAAGGGTCCATCCTCAAGCACCATCCACATGCAGTCATGTAGAGCGTAGAGATGTGCTTCCATCATGATCTTCCAATCATCATAACCTAAGAGAGAAAACTTGGGCAAACCGTGATCCATATTGTTCACCATTATGATCGCTTCTCGTTAATCTAAACGTAGATAGTGAGAAGTCTGCTCCGATACCAATTGGTGGTCCCAAAGTGGTGAAATACAAAGTCTAGAGGGGGGGGTGAATAGACTTTGTTACAGATTTAAAATATTTTTCGTTTCTTTTGAAAACGTGAAAATAAGTGTTAATCTAGAGTCCTTGTGAACTTTAGATTGTGTGCGGAATTTGGTGGGTAGAGTGAGCAGTAATCAATATGGATGGGTTAGTTTTCACAGTTAATCTAATTGCAAGTAAGAATAAAGATAAAAGAGAGAGACACGCAAACTTTAACGAGGTTCGAAGGTGGGGTAATCCTTCTACGTCCTCAAAATCCACTATGTAGTTGGTTGTTGAATAATGAACCAACAATTACACTTGTGTGAATTTCTGCACGGTATATCTTCACAAGACCAATGTTGCTACTGCACTCGTGCTGGCTTTGTTGTTCCTTCGAAGGTCAAGCTTCTTCAACAACTGCAAGGTCCGAACAATAGGACTTGCAAGATCAACTTGTAAGAGAGTTGACCTACCCC